ATATCAAACAATGAGTGAGTTTAAATTGAAAAATTGGGAATAAATTTGGAATAGCGTTGTAAAGATCCAATAAAAGAATGAAGTTTATTGAAGGATTTGGGAAATGGCACATGTGATAATGAAGAAAATCGGCCAGGGTTAGGAAAGAATCTAGATTCTTCAGGCAAATAACCTGAACAAAAAAATTGAATCGTCACAAATGTAAGCTTATCAGAGTTGTTAAAAACATGAGTAGAAAGTTTTTCAAGCAAAGCTCTTAAACGTCCATCATGTATGTTTCTGCTAGGAGCATGAACAATAATATTGCCCTGATAAGCACATGCGCCTAGTACAACGGAAATGATAGAGTTAATTTTGTTCTGAAAAATGGCTGGTAGAACACTAAGACCAAGTGGTAGAAATTATAGCAAAATGAACCGAGAGGTGTAATAATATTAGAATGTAAATGCGAATCTCATCAAGGGAAATTTGGAGGGTGGTATTTTTCAAGTCTAGACTAGAGAAAATCTTTGGTCCACGAAGCTAGTGGAGAATAACTTCTAGACTTTTAAGGCCTGTTCACCGTAACTCAACACTCTCCATATGATATCTGAATCTTCTCATAACGCTTCATCCAGATAACAGTTGGCGTGGTTCAAGCCAAAGAACTCACTGGTGTCAAAAATCATTGGCTAAGCATCTCGAAGTCCAAGCGGGGTACTTTGCTGTTTCGTAGACACAAAGGAACCTGTTACTTTTAGACTCACAGGAGTCATTTCAATCCCACTCTTTGCATTGGAATATTCGAGTATTCATTTAAAAAGATTGAGTTAATGCGCGCCAGCATAAACAAAAATGAAAAATACATAAGGTTCATGCAATTGAAATCACTTATAGAAACATCGGAATCGATAACCAAAAACGGACAGTGAAATACTCGTAAGGCCAGGTTTTGTCGTTTGCACCCGGACTAGCACTCGTGTAAGTATCAAACCGCGTGATAATAATCCAACCAAACAATAAATGAAATGAGTGAAATCAGAAAACAGAAGTCAACAGCAAAATCGTATTGTCATAAGCGGAAAACGGGAATATCCAAGGATTTCGTGTTCACTAAAACAAAAGAGTTGATAGTCTATGCACAATCACCACAAAAAGCAAGGGGAAATAGGATTCGTTTTTTCGTCAGGATAGTTACATGTATATACCATTTGGAAGAGTAAATTTAAACAATACAAGCGACTGAGATTAAATCGCATTATAGTATTGGGGGCAATAAAGCGCATGATCTGACTCGAATCAGAATCTGATTAACGCTTAACCTTGTCACAGAATACAATTTAAAAACCCGACCGAATCTTAAGAAATCGAGATAGAAGTTTCGGGCACACAAGAAATTAAAACATAAAAAAGGTAGAATTTTAAGAACGAGGTGAGATTACGGAAGTGGATTAATTCTGTGGAATTTGGAGACAGGGAAAACGTAATTAGCACCTTTGAACCACGTTAAGTACGTACCTTTTCTTCTGTTCGTCAAAGTGTGCCGGTATTGAATTTATCGAACTGAACCGTGAACCTCAGTCTTACTAACGAATTGATTTTTCGTGTATAATCTAAACTCAAAATACCACCAAAAGGTTCCTTTGAATGATAACAATATGGGCACTAATTTTAGCGAACAAAAAGCTGAAATACCTCGTTAGGCTTGTTTGTCGGCCCGAAATGTTTTGACTTAAGTAGGTTACATTCTTGTATACTGGTTACACCGATAAATGAAGCACCCTGTCATTGGAGGGTTCGAATTATGATACATTAATGCATAAATTATTGCTTCAACGTAATTGAAGATCGTCGTAAGGTTATCTCTACATGTTTTCCAATGGTGCGTTTATCGCTAATTCACTCAATGTGATTTTTCTGATAAACAGTGTGGTACCCTGGTATCATGGTGGGAATTTACGAATCACCGCATGGAAGTGGTGAAGGGCGTGACCAAGATTAAGCACTACCTACCAAACTGATAAAAATTCGTGATTCGCAGTCAAAAAAGTATACTTCGCAGTAGAACATCTCATGGAGAGCCTGTAAATCACTTCCTTGTGATAACACATGGCATAACTATTGTCTACTGCAAAACTACTGAACCAACTTGGCATGGGAAGACAAGTTAACGTACCAAGTAATGCGCGAGATAAAAATTCAACTCAGAGCTAGTGTAGAAAAATATAAGTGCATCCAAACGAGTCAAGTTTGGTGTTGCAGCTCTAAGTTTAGCAGAAAGTGTCTCACTCACAAAAAAGAAGGTAGCTGAAATGTTTAAATGTCAATATGCGCTAGTGTTTACTTCATCTGTCAGAACTGATCTACGATGGCCTTTGTTACTCGAGGACATACCAAAGTGGTTTTTCCTCAGTAATCCTCGCATCGCAGTGTTTGCAAAGAAATTCATCTCTGAGGATAGATAACATCAAAACGCTAGACCTTACCGACCTGGCAAGTAACAGCCCAGTCATTAAGTGAGCTATTCCAGTTTGTTAGACAAAACTGTGCTCCCACAAACCTACCATCAAAGAATAACCTCACCAATGTACAAGGGTGCTGTCGTAGTTACCCGGTTAACAACCGCCCGGTCTCACTTCTATCCGTATTATCCAAAGTCATGAAATCCATTTTGGCGGACAACGTGATGAGTCACTGGGAGAAATACAACCTATTATCCCCGGTGCAATGTGGGTTTCGTCGCAGACCATTGTACAATCCGCACGCGCCTATGGCCCTGGAAGAATGGAAAAAGTAGTTAATCGTGGTGATGCAGTGGACGTGGTATACCTGGACTTACTCAAGGGATTTGACTGTGTAAAGCGCAACATATTTTTGAGGAAAAAATAAAAGCATGGAATTCAATGGCCCGTCCTGGGTTGGATAGAAGAATTTCTTCGACAGCGCACCATGGCATTTCAGGTTTCTGTGTCTTTATCTGATCTTATCAACGTAGCCCGAAGAGTTCCACGGGAATCCGTGCTTGGCTCTCAACTTTTTCTAGTTTTCATAATACATCTAACGGGTTTTATTGCTTTTAGACGATCCAAAAATGTTGAAGACAGTGACAAAACCTGAGGACTCATTGGAAATTCAGAAGGCACTTATTGCTACCCATCAATGGTCGACCCAAAACGACAGCGAATTCAATGCATGAAAATATGCGGTCGCATTCCTTCGCCACAACACTCAGTTCCCGTAATTTCTGGGATATCAGCAACTTCCGTATGTCTCGCATGCGAAGGATCTGGGTGTCATCAATCCAAACGACTGTGTTCTTCTATGAACTGCTCTAAGAGTGTGAAGTATATGGGATTCTATACCAACTCGCATGGGATCTGCACCTACCATTCATTCTTTTAAGCATAAACTGAATGAATCATTATCATATCCTAATTTTTGATACCTGTTGCAGTACACAAAAAGGAAAATTTGTAAGATCTCTTGATTCCTTGTGACTGTTAATTTGATCCATTTGTTCCCGGAATATACCAGCGACATACATTTGTGTGAGAAACCCAGTGGGACAAGAAAAGCAACCGCTTGTAAGCATTTTTAAAGTAAAATTTAGATTTTGAAACGCCTAATGAGGCAAGCAGAGGCAACCAGAATACTACTGACTGGTACCTACTCAAGTGGTGAACAGTATGTCTTCGGCGCAATAAAATGGATTTCCTCCATTGTCATGTATGTTCTACTCTTGTGTATAGCTTACGAATTTTTCTGTTAAATAATTATCTTTTCGACCGGATTACTGAAAACGTTTTCTGTAGGACCAGTCTTCGGTGACTGAAGGAACAACCGATTACTTTCCACCGAATTATCCTGTGAAAGTGATATTTTCCTGGCATTTTTTCAGTAAATTTTCGGTATCACTGTTTTCCGTTGTAATTGTCTGACCTGCGTTGCACTTCGTTCTTCATCCCAATCCACCCGTCTCCTGTTATTTTTACTATTGTTGTGGCGTTGGCATCATGCTTTCCCGCCAGCCGGTGATATATATTTATGTATGTGCTGCTAAATTTTTAGATAACCAGAGTTTTCCAGTATGGTTCATAGATTTGAGCCGGCGCGCAATATAATTTGCAATTTATTATAATCAGCATTTGTAAATTGGTCTCTATTTGTAAATTTGAATCAAATTAAGAAATAAGTGAGCGGTGTTCTTAGTATTGCGCACGCTAAGAATTTATGGTTCTTCTTATTTTAATGAAGTCATATCATGCATAGACTCCGGAATGCAATGAATATTATCTAAATGAGCATCAGTTCAGTTGAGTTTTTACAACAGTTAGACATGTACTTTTGTGCGCCGGTTTTTGGTTGTTCACTTTTGGCTGCCCATTTGACAAAAGAGCAGAGGGAAGATTGGAATGTTGAGATCAAAGTTAAACAGAAAATAGAAAATTCATATAGACAGGGGTTGTAAAGATAATGAGCAGATGTGTAGGTATATTAGAAGTTAGCTTCGATCTTGGTTCCGGTCGGCGTAGCCCGACTTCTATCAGCTTACCTAAAGCAAGAATGTCTTGTTTCACAATTATTCATTGCAGTGACATAAATAATGTCTGAATACAACGGAAGCAACCTTCGGTTCAACATATTTCGCTGGGGGGTGTTAATTTCTTGCAACAACTGATCACTTCCTATTTATTACCTTCGCGAGCTTACCAAGACTTTTTAGAATCGTTCTCCTCCGAAACGTATTCTCCAATTGCGAGTCATAAATATCCCGTTGAACTCATTATGATGAAAGTAGGTTTTCCATTTGCAGAGCTTTTATCTAGAACAGTGGTTGAATAACCATCCGTCTGTAAACATCATTGTGAATATATATGAGCTAAAATATGATTTTATATATGAAGCTCTAAAACCGACTTGGATACAGTAGTCATTATTGGGGTATTCCATTATACTTAAATGCGAATCATAGTAAAGCGTTTCACAAAATTTTAATATACAAGTGTGTTCTTATTTTCCAGATGGATATTGATCCAAAGATTATCAAACGAACGCAGGAGACATTGGGAAAGATTATACGTAAACCTACATTGACAGACAAATTGTTATCCCGACCACCGTTTCGTTTTCTCCACGATATCATTACCGCTGTAAGTCTGATTGGTTGATCCAAGCAAGCGATGGTATACAGTTCATACGAACCACTGGTCTGATGAAAGGTCTATTCACACCGGACGAGTTGGTTGCGGACAATGTAAAAGAAAAAGAGAACAAACTGACATTCTTGCAAAAAGTCGTCGACTATCTGTCAGTTGTGCATGACACCACAATCCCCGTTCGAATTATGAGCATTATTGCTGGCAAGGAGCCAGAGAAAACAAACGAGCTACTAGTTTATCTGGCCGATACCGTAAACAAAAATGTGAGTGTGTCTTTGGCTGAACGTGGTCACACCCGTTGGTTTGCAGGTGAACAATGACGAGTGTGTTGCTCGTGCATTACATGGTGGCGGTAGAGCGGGTGGAGCAAGGAAAACAAAATCTCGAAGTCCGGAATCACTGACCAGTGCAAAATCCCGCGTTGAAAAATCAGGCCAACCACAAGGGAATAAAACTGCAGATAAAGAGACACCGCAGAGAAAAGAGGAACCGGACGAAGGAAAAGCTGCCAGACGTTACAAAAAATCCGAGAAAGAAAAACACGACGATCGAACGAAGAAACACATGGCCCGTCAGAAATCTGTCGAGAATGAGCTGGAACAAACGAATGGAGATAAGGTAGGTTGGTCTGTGCGTGAAAGAAAAGGATGATTGGACTAATTTTTTTTTACAAAAGTGTTCATAAATGTGTTTACTTCAAATATATTAGCTCACCACGAATATTCGTAAAAACTGACAATTTGAGGTAACAACTGTGCTTAAAATGTGTGCAACTTTTCATCCACACTGTGGTCTTGCTTCCGAATTACAAAACATCTTTTTAGTTTGAAAACACTCTATCCCCGACACAACTTTGAACAGAGAAGTCGGAAACCTTGGTTTGCACAATGCATCCATGGTTGTTTCGCTGCATCTGTACATGTGCATGCTGCAGTCCAAGTGATTTTTGTGGTCAGTAAGTAAAGAAGACAGGATCGCTGATCACAAGGGACATCACAACACAACAATACAGAAATGGTAGTGAAAGAGAGGAGCAGGTTAATCACCTAGGCAAGGCTTTATAATAACCATAGAGAACCTAGATATTCGATAACACAACACTTATTCGGACAAAAACATCGTATCTCTTCAACTCACGCATTCCAGGTCATCTACAACACAAAAAGCACAAAGTTACTGAAATCCATCGAGGCTCTAGCCGTTCATACTCTCAAACCCGATACATACAAACAGCGTGAATTGTTAGTGACAATAGATTTACTTTGGTGACTGACCCCGTACTCTCTCTCTCGCCACCATATCTGTGTTGTTGTGCCATGTTGTCCCTTGTCATTAGCGATCTTGTCTTCTTGTCTCAGTTATTATCTCACTGACTATAAAAACATTTGACTGCAGTATGCACCTGTACAAATGCAGCAAAATGACCATGGATACATTGTGCAAATTAATGTTTCTGACCTCTCTGTTCAATTTTTCAGATTATCAAATAAACTGTGCTAGCAGACCTAATCGGGAGATGAAGGGCGTGGAATTACGGTACCGCCTCCGGTGTTGAATATTTCTGCTCCAGTTTAACAAGGGATACGGGGAATGGAAACTACGATCACGAAGGTTGCATTCTTTGTTGTAGAAACAAAGAAACATGAAACGAAAAGCGGCATAAAGCTTCAGTTTTTTAGGTGTGGTACTAAATTGTAAAACGCCTATCAGTAAGATATAAAAGCTTTTCAATGAACCATAAACTTTCTCCAATCGTTTGGTAGATTAGTCTTAAGTTATTGTCGCATGCGTGAAAATGGAAATACACGTGTGTAAAACTGCTTCCTTCTTCTTAGAAATTGCAACCGTTGCAAATACGAATTCACCAAGCACAAACGTTTCACCGTGCTACAGTATTTCGAATCTTTAATTATAGATATTTTCAATGAACCGAAATCTACCCGCTTTAGATCAGATTTCTTGAGTTTAAAACACCCAAAGTATGCAGTTGTTGACTGTTTTAATCTGATATCGGGAATAATTATTCACTGGTGATCAGTGATGCCTATTCCGAAATATTTTGATATGTTTTATCCATTTTGGAGATTTTCAGGTTACGATCCTTGCTAAACGTGTGATTTGTATTTGTGTTGAAACGGAACCCAGTTGTTGATTCAAACATTTAATCCTAAAACCAAACAGCAACAGCGAATTTTACTCAGAACCATGCAATAATTTGACCGCATCAGACTTTAATGGAGCCTCCTGTGAAACAATGAATTTGTTGATAATCGCCAGGGATTCTTCAATTTGTGGATGGTTTTCAGTTGCTCCGAAATAGTGCTACTGGTCATAAAAGAAATGAAAATTTGTTCTCGTAACTCGAGTTTTCTGAATTCTGCTTCGCCCGTTTGCTTAGCTTGACGAATTTTCGCACACGTTTCATTACCAATTGTGGTTACATCTTCAGTNGTGGTAACTCACGTCGGCTGGTTATGGAATGCTTGTGGAAAGGTCACCAAGTTTACTGAATAGGTCTAGTCTTACACAAGTCAATTAGTTTTCACCGTGACTGTATCACCCACGGGTTATTTTTTTTTTTTGAAGGGGGGGAGGGAAGTGATATTAAATCTGTGCATTAAGCCACAAAACATACCGTATTTTTTTCAACCCGGAAATTTTGACCACTTAAGACCCATCATGTTAGGTAGCTGATGTCAGAAATTGCCTACTGTCGTCAGTCCAAGTAAATGGATTACCTAATCGTAATACTCCCATATTTCGAAATGTTCAGGTTTACACCAAAATATAAGAATGTAAGGAACCGAAGGAAAGTTAGATGCGCAAAATTTATGCGATCAAAAGAAAACTTCGAAATGATTGAAAATAATTTGTAAGCACACCAGGTTGGTATGTTGGCGGCAAGAAATATCCAAATTATTTCAAATAAAATAAAAACATTTTACATGTGGCGGCCAACAAATATAGCTGCATAACTGTTTTGTCGGTGTCGGGACTCTTCAACAACGTTTGCTAATTTTTCTCCCTAATCAGGATTTGAACTGAGAACTATACAAGAAAAGTTTCAAATGTTTGTGCTACTCCCAGTCCTATTGACATTGTGTTTTTTACTACAAAGACTTCATTCTTATCCATATGCTCACCCCAACCCACTCCAACAAATGCTTTTAAGGACGATGATACCAGACGTAGGCTGGACAGAAAAGAAACGGACAAGGTAGGTCCACAAAAAATTTCCTGCCTTTACGCCTCGGTATTCTGCTATTGTCCCTAGAGTCGGTACCTGAACACCGAAGTTCTAGCGGTACAGTTCTTCAGGCAACCGTCGAACTGGGCAACATTGTGTAGTAAAACAGTTACACTATTCGATTCTTGTGTTTGCAACATTCAAGAGATTCAGAACAAACATTGCGGACAGAATCCTTTATGTTCCACGTGTACAACAACAGTTCTCAGGAAAGCCAGAAAAAAGCAGTTCGGCAAATTGTGGGACTACTCAGCACAATGGGTCATGAAACCTTTTCTAGTGGACAAGGCACTGAATCCGACTTGTATGGTGATTGGGTTTGTTTAATAGGATTTCCACAGTTTCTCGCTGTTTTCCGTTGTATTCATTCCTTATTTACGTGTGCCACATGGTTATCTTGGGAGAATTCCTTCAAGAGGGAAGCGAGATATATATGATGAAATCTGATTTGC